GAAGCGGCTGTCAAGATCCCGCTACTCTTCTTGGTCCTCATCGCCCTCCTGTGAGCACCCCCAGGGAGAGGGGAGAGGGGAGGGGTGCGGAGGGCAGGGCGCAGGTGGCTGCACCCTGGAACCAGCGCTGGAGGGGGCGGGGGCGGGGCCGGCAGGAGGCTGACGGGAAGGGGGAATGGGGGGCGGGGCTTGGGGGCGGTGAGGAGTCCCCTGGGCCAGGGGCTCCTCCCCGCCCAGTGTCAGGGTTGAAGGTAGCCGCTGTGCTCTAGAGAGTCTGTGGAGCCACACCTGCCCTCTCCCACCTCAGTCATGCCCCCGCCCCTGAACAAGGAACAGGGTGAGTCTGCGGCCCGCGGCACCAGATCTGACCAGAGCCTGGTCTCTTCTCTGGCTCAGAGTGACGTCCTGCAGGAGGAGGGCAGCCAGGCCTGCAGGGGGCGTGTCAGATGCAAACGCCAGGCCGGCAGGGGGTGTGTCAGATGCAAACGCCATTCCAGGTTACCCCTCTGGGTGAGTGATGTCGGCATCCTACCACCCAACATCGCACTGCACACCTGCCCCAGAATGGCCCCCAGGATTGCTCCACTCAGCGTACCCAAAGTGGAGCTGCCATCTTCCTCCCCAAACCCACTTCTCTGCTGGGTTCCCTGTCACACTGATGACAAGGTAGCCCCCATCTCTAAGGCCAGAAGGAAGGACGGGGTTTGCCCCCTTTCATCCCCGCTTCTCTTCTCCAGAATCCAATAATCACTAAGTGCTGTCCATCCTTCCTCCTAAGCACAGCTCGTCCTGATGCCCGTCTCCTTCCCATCTTGACCCCAGTCGTTCCAGCAGCCTCATCTCCTCCCTGGGTCTCTGAACCCACCCACCTCCTGGCTCCATCTCCCTGGGAAACACAGGCCTCCGGACTGTTCGCAGAGACCGTTACCATCCACTTGCTGCACAGCAGGGACAGCTGTGTTTCCTCTCCACGGCCAGAGACCAAGGTGCACACACCACTGGCTGGATTTGCAGCCCTGGCGGGCTCTGCCCTGCTGGACTCTCCACCCACATCCCTCCTCTCCCTGCATCTCCCCACATCTCCACACCCAGCCTGGCCAGACCTCTGTGACTCTGAGACTTTGTATGTGCAGTCCCTTCCCCTGAAACATCCTTCCCCCTCCATTCCTGCGTCTCTAAGTCCTGAGCATATCCTCAGGCTCAGTCTTAAATGTCACCGCGCGTGTGTGTGTGTGTGTGTGTGTGTGTGTGTGTGTGTGTGTTTCCTTGTCTGGTTTTGGGTGGAAGAGTGGCATACACTTAATTATAGACTATTCGGCAAGAACTATTGAACATGTACTCTGTGCCCCCTTGTTGGAGGTTCCCAGGGGGCATCAGTGAGCACAGCATCAAAAATCTCTGTCATCGGGCTTCCCTGGTGGCGCAGTGGTTGAGAGTCCACCTGCCAATGCAGGGGACGCAGGTTCGTGCCCAGCTCTGTGAAGATCCCACATGCCGCGGAGTGGCCGGGCCTGTGAACCATGGCCGCTGAGACTGCGCGTCCGGAGCCTGTGCTCCGCAACGGGAGAGGCCACAACAGTGATGCGTACTGCACAAAAAAACCAGAAAAACCAAAGAAACAACTAAAAATAGAGTTCGCATATGATCCAGCAATCACACTGCTGGGCATATATCCGAAGAAACGTCTAATTCAAAAAGATACGTGCAGCCCAATGTCCATAGCGGCACTGCTCACAACAGTGAAGACATGGAAGCAACCTGAGTGTCCATCCACAGATAAAGGGATACAGATGTGAGATATATATATGAATATATATAATGGAATATTACCTAGCCGTAAAAAGAATGAAATAATGCCATTTGCAGCAACATGGATGGACCTAGAGATTATCATACTGAGTGAAGTAAGTCAGACAGAGACAAACATTATATAATATCACTTACAGGTGGAATCTAAAAAATAATACCACTAAATTCATTTACAAAACAGAAACAGACTCACAGACATAGAAAACAAACTTATGGTTACCAAAGGGGAGAGGGATGGGGGAGGGATAAATTAGGAGTTTGGGACTAACACATACACACTACTATATATAAAATCGATACTCAACAAGGACACTGCACGGCACAGGGAAGTCTACTCAATATTCTGCAATAACCTATATTGGACAAAAGCCTGAAAAAGAATAGATAGATGTATATGTATAACTGAATCACCTTGCTGTACACCTGAAACTAACGCAACATTGTAAATCAACTCTACTCCAATACAAAATAAAAATGAAACTAAATTGAAAAATAAATAATTTGGAGGCCCGTTAAAAAAGGAAATTTCCTTTGCACTGACATAGAACATGTGCTCGCCCGTTTGTTTTACATGAAGGTGCTACATGGTCTTTATTCTGAAGATGCCATTGAAAGTTTGTCAATCAGCATAGTAGAAGTGAAAAAAAATCCCATGTCATATTTTTAGAAAATACCCAGTATGCTGCCGGACACTCGGCAATCTCACCACTGATGCAGCTCTAAAGCCCGACAGTGCTGCCTGTTTGGGGAGGAAGTGATGCGCCCGGGTGGGAGCATCTCCTGGGCAGGGACCAGGCCAGCCGTATCCCTTCTGGTCTCCAGGTCAGCAGCCCAAGATGCTCAGTGTTGGGGGAAGGAGTGAAGGCATGATTGGCTGCTGCCTTCACGTCACCCAGGAGCCCCTTCTTGTCTTCTGCCCCAGACGCTCACACAGACCCTAAGGAACCCTACATCTTGCAGGACCGACCACCCGAGGGTCTAGGTGAGGCTGGGACCCTCCAGGTCAAGACAGGAGCTGAGCGGCTCCCTGGTGTAGACAGCGGTGCTCAGACGGGAGGACCTTAGGAGGCTCACCGTGTCCTACGCCTCCGTGTCCTCAGAGGCTCTGTTGCTGGAAGAACCCACCCGAGATGGGGGGCAGGGCAGGGCTCTCCTCCTTGCCTGCTCCTCTCTGGGCAGGTCTCCGGGGTCTCTAGACCGAGGGGTGTCCGTCCGCTCTGTGCGGAGGAGGGGCCGAGCTCCGGCTCTGCAGTTCCTCTTCTGTGAACAGCTGGGTCTCGTGTTCCTCCCCGGCTTCCCGTGGGTCTCCCCGCAGCCTTACCTCCCTCTCTCCTTCCCCTTCTCTTTTCACACACAGGACGCCCAGAGGCCCTCCGTCTCAGAGATGCTGCCGCTGCTGCTGTCCCTGCTGTGGGCAGGTGGGTGGGCTGCGGGGAGAGCAGTGGGCAGGGCAGGGGCTGCAGCTGACCCTCGTTTCCCCGCAGGGTCCCTGGCTCAGGACAGCAGATACCGGCTGGAAGTGCAGGACTCCGTGACGGTGCAGGAGGGCCTGTGTGTCCGCGTGCCCTGCTCGTTCTTCTATCACTGGGACGACAGGGACAAAACTGCCCCAGTTTTCGGCTACTGGTTCCGGGAAGGGGCCAATGAGAAGCTGGATGCCCCTGTGGCCACAAACAACTCGGAACGTAAAGTTCAGGAAGAGACCCAAGGCCGATTCAACCTCCTAGGGGACCATGGAAACAATTGCTCCCTGGACATCAGAGACGCCAGGAGGAGGGATCAAGGTTCATATTTTTTTCGTGTGGAAAGAGGAGAGACATTATGGAGTTATAAGTCTAACAAGCTCTCCTTGCATGTGACGGGTAAGGAGTGGGGTCCGGGAGAGGCCTCAGGGGAAGGACCTGGAGCCCCAGGGCAGGACTCGGATAGGACCCCCTCCTGGGAGGGGTCGGGGGTAGAGCAAGTGGGCGTTCAGAAAGACGGGCTGGACCAAAGCCTGAAGCTTATCTCAGGGCTGCACCTCTAACCCTCCTCCTGACCCCGTCTCCCCCTCTCTTCATCAGCCCTGAACCACACACCCCACATCCTCATTCCTGCGACGCTGGAGGCGGGCCGCCCCGGGAACCTGACCTGCTCTATGCCCTGGGCCTGTGAGCAGGGCGCGCCCCCCACCTTCTCCTGGACGTCAGCCGCCCTCACCTCCCTGGGCCCCAGGACTCACCTGTCCTCAGTGCTCACCATCACCCCACAGCCCCAGGACAATGGCACCAATCTCACCTGTCAGGTGATGTTCCCCGCAAGCGGTGTGATCGTGGAGAGGACCATCCAGCTCAGTGTCACCTGTGAGCGCTGCGCCGTGATGCCAGGGGCGTGAGGGGATGGGGGCAGGTGGGCCAGGCCGGGGATGCTGGGTATTGTTGCCTGGAGACCCGGCTGAGTAGGAGGGCCTGGAAGACAGAAGCCCTGTCCCTCTTGCATTTCTGTGGCTTCTGGGTGTGTGTGTGGGGGATGCCTACGCTTATCTCACCCCAGTCCTCTCACTGAGGAAGGAAATCCTGTCTTCCACTCCTAGGTGCTCCACAGAGCCCAGGAAGAGGTGTGTGCTCAGGGGATGGCACAGGTAAGATGGAGCCCCCCCATCCATGGGGCATTGACTGGAGTGGGTTCTCTTCCAGGTTGGGTCAGAGCTGCACTTTCAGAGCTCAGATGGTGCAGGTCGGGTGTGGTTCTGCATTTAGACACAAGAAGCCCCCATTAGGTCTCTTCCGGCAGTATCCTCCGACTCTGGTCTTGCCAAAGTGACCCACACCTCCCTCTCTGCCTCTTCTAAATATGGTCTTTATCTTTCTCCGGTCACCGAAGGCCTTGCGGGCGGGCATATTTTAAGTAGACTTTATTTTCAGGAACTGATTTGGGCTCGTAGCAGAATTCGTCAGAAGGTAAAGAGACTTCCCTTGTCCCCGCTGCACTTTCCCACACACGCACGGCCTCCCCCCAACAGCCTGCCCCACCAGAGGGTACCTGTTACAATCGACGAATCTCCACTGACACGTCATTTTCAACCAAAGTGCATAATTGACATTAGGGTTCCCTCTTGCTGTTGTACATTTCATGCGTTTGGACAAATGTATAATGAAATGTATCTGCCATTATAGTATAATACAGATTAGTTTCATTGTCCCAACATCTCTTTGGACCATTTTTTTGACTGTCAGCCCCTCAGCCCTCACCCTGAGCCCTCTCTGGAACCCAGCGCTCCCCTCACTGCTGTATTCCCACTGGTCATAACATCTGGTCACCCATCTGGACAGAGCCCCATTAGGGCTGTCTCAGCAGTGCCCACCAAACTGTTGACAGGTGATGCCCGGACACACATTCCTTGCCCCGGGTGTTGGGGTGCCACCAAGCAGGGCCAGGAGAGTTGTCTGGGCCTGACCTGCAGGTGTGAGAAGCTTCCTGCTGCCACCTCCTTCTGAAGGCACAAAAGATCACCGTGGACCCTGAGTGACAGGGCCAATAGAGGCCAGGAGAGCAGATTTAGACCCCCTCCCTGGAAGGAAGGAGAGACAAGGCCCTTCAGCATCCCACAGTGCTCTCTGTCTGTCTGTCTGTCTGGAATGTCCACGGGGCACAGAACCTCATGGCTCTGCTGTGGCCAGGTCTGGAGTCTTTTGCAGAGAGACCCTGGATGGAGAAATAGCTGACTCCACGAAGAGCTGAAGTTTGTTGAGAGTATGTGGGCTGGAGAGGAAGTGTGGCATAGACTGTCCTTTTGGACAAGGCTGAGGTCCTACAAACGGTGGGGGAACCTAGGGGCTGAACCCTCAGTGGGAAGGGAGGGGCACGCCTCTCTACCTGCTAAGGAGAGGAGGAGACTTATGCCTCCTCATCAAGATTGGAATTCTCCCCAAGTCTCTCTTGTCTGCAGGAAAATTGGGGACCAGGGCAGGAGTGATTGAGGGGGCCCTTGGGGGAGCTGGTGTCACCATGCTGCTTGTTCTCTGCCTGTGCCTCGTCTTCTTCACGTGAGTTGGGTTGGCTGTGGGCCAGTGGAGGAGAAGAGGGGCCTGGAGGGGTTGTGCGGACCCAGAGCAAGGGTGGGGCGGTGCAGGGGTAGTGAGGATCCAGCTAGTAGACACCTAGCCAGGTATGAGTGTGTTCCCAGCCCTGGTCCGAGATCCAGAAGCCGGGAGGGAGAAGGGACCTTGTTACAGTCTTGTTATAAAGGCTCCTGGGCTCCCTCTACCCTTTTAATTTTTATTTTTTATTGGAGTAGAGTTGCTTTACAATGTTGTGTTAGTTTCTGGTGTACAGCAAAGTGAATAAGTTATGCGCACACATATATCCACTCTTTTAGATTCTATTCCCATATGTCATTACAAAGCAGTGAGTAGGGCTCCCTGTGCTGTACAGTAGGTCCTTATTAGTTATCTGCTTTATTTGTAGCAGTGTGTATATGTCAATCCCAATCTCCCAATTTATCCCACCCCTTTTCCCCCTTGGTAACCATAAGTTTGTTTTCTGCGTCTGTGACTCTATTTCTGTTTTGTAAATAAGTCCATTTGTACCATTTTTTTAGATTCCACATATAAGCCATATCATATGACATTTGTCTTTCTCTGTCTGGCTTACTTCACTCAGTATGACAATCTCTAGGTCCATCCATGTCCCAGAAAATGGCATTATTTTGTTCTTTTTATGGCTGAGTAATATTCCATTGTATATATGTGCCACATCTTCTTTATCCATTCCTCTGTCGATGGACATTTAGGTTGCTTCCACGTCCAGGCCATTGTAAATCTGCTGCTATGAACGTTGGGGTGCATGTATCTTTTCGAATTATGGTTTTTTCTGAATATGTTGGGCTCACCCTACTCTTGACCTGCCTTAGTCACTCACTCCAGCCTCAAAAGAGACACCCTGTGTCACAGACCCTAGTGTCTCCCAACAGAGTGAAGACCTACAGGAAGAAAGCAGCCAGGACTGCAGTGGGTATGGAGCACATCCACCCTGCCATAGGACCAACTTCCCTGGTGAGTGACACGGGCATCCCGGCAATGCAGCGTGCCCTGCAGATCTCCCGGGGTGGCCCACAGCCATGCTCCATTCAGCATGTCCAGAAATGAGCTCTTCCCCTTCCTGCTTTTTTGAAAATGTAGGATTTATTATTATTCCTCTGTGTGAGGCCAACAGATCAGGAGACGATTGCCACAAAAAAGACAGGTAGTACAGTTCCCAAGAGGAGGGGGCGTGCCACACCCTGCAGGGCCATGAGAGGCAGCACAAGGGTCTGTCAAGAGGCAGAGGGAGTGAGGAGGAAACCTGGGCAAGAGATTTTGTGGTTTATGTGGGAAGGAACAGGCAGGGTAAGCAGACTGAGGACTGTCTAGTTTGAATGATTTCAGAATGCTCTGGGGTGTAGGGGTTGTCTCTGGTTTTCTGGTACCTGGCCCCGGGGTGATGAGAGCAGGATAATGGTCCAGAGAGTAAGAGTTTGATAAAGGAAGTGGTTTGGGCTGATCGATTTGCAATATGAAGGGCAGGCTTGCAGGCAGATCCCTTAGAATCTCTAGAACTTGACTAGCACTGGCAGGGGCAATCCCTCGAGGGTTAACAAAGCCCCAGTTGTCAAAACATCAGAAACACATGGTGGATACATCCCTAAATATACTTCTGCTGGGTTCTCCAATTCATCAATGGTACTCTTGTTCCTGACTCCCAAACAGAGATCTATCCCTTTCCCCCATCACCTCTTCCTGCACTGATACACTGCAAAGCATGTCTGTGTTTCTTCTAAATACAGCTTGATACAAACACTCCCTTTGAGCTGAGCTCCCCACTTAGTTCTTATCCTGCTGAAGCCTCCCCACCTTCCCTCAAACATCTACATTGCCTGCGTCTGCATTGCCTTCATCTGTATTAGACAGTCATCCCATCCTGCCCAAGTGTGAAATGCACTGTTTCTCCACACTGCCTAACAACTTGATTGACATTCAGGGCAGGAAAACCAGAGTCGGCTTTAACGCTGTACTTCCTCCAAACAGGCTTGCTCAAGCAAAGTAAGATTTTTGCCCCTCAGAATCACTGCCCATCTGCCCCCTTCTCCTCACGTGTCCGTATCAACCAGCCCCACTCATGCTCATCCTCTGATCCCTGACTCATTTATTTCTTGAGCTATGACTAATATGGCCATCACTGAGGTTTCTGAGCGAATCCATCACCCATGCATTCACTTATTCCTTCAGCAACTATCTCCCACTTGTTGATTGTTCTGAGAACTTGGGTAATATCCGTGTTTTTACAGAGACATATGTTACAAGTGGAAAATGTCCCTTGCTGTCAAGGACTTACATTTATTGACGGGAGTGGGGCGGTTGTGGTGAAAGCAAGGAACAGGTAAGTAGGGAAAATATACAGGAAATGAGAGCTATGGAGGGAAATGCAATGGGAGGGACAGTTCTGGGGGTGGGAGTCTTTTAGAAAACACCTGCAGGAAGTGAAGGAACACAGTGTGAGCCCCTGAAAGAGAGTCGTTGAAGGGCTCTAAACAGAGGGAGCCACAAGTGCTGGGCTCAGAGGTTGGGACAAGCCTGATGCATTGGAGAGATGCATCACTTAATCATGATGAAGCCTCCATAAAAATCCCAATAGTATGGGGTACAGGGAGCTTCTGGCTGGTGAACAAGTGGAGGTGCTGGGAGAGTGATGTGTCTTGAGAGGCGATGGAAACCCTGCACCCCTTCCCACATACCTTGCCCTGTGTATTTCTTCATCGGACTTTTCATGCCTTCCTAAGCTATATGCTTTTATAATAAACTAGTAATCTAGTAAGTAAATGGTTTTCCTGAGTTTTGTGAGCCACTCTAGCAAATTAATCAAACCTGAGGAGGAGGTCATAGGAACCTCTGATTTCTAGCCAGTTGGTCAGAAGCACAGGTGACAACCTGGACTTGTGATTGACATGTGAAGTGGGGGGGAGGCAGTCTCATGGGACTGAGCCCTCAACCTGTGGGATCTGACACTATCTCCAGGCAGAGAGCATCAGAATTGAGTTACATTGTAGGACACCCAGCTGGTGTGGGAGAATTCCTTGGTGTGGGGGTACAAAGAACCCACACATCTGGTGTCAGAAGCGTTGTGAGTGTGATAATAGTGCGAGAGTAAAGGAGGAGACACACAGGAAAAGTGAGTTTTTCCATAAACGCCCTCCTGTTTATGGAAAACCTCAGGAAACCTCAGAGGGCCAGGAGTTGAGTTTGTGCTCAATAGATGTGTGACCTTGGGAAGAACCTACCCTCTCTGAGACTTCGTTTCTCTCCCTGTAACATAGTAATATTTTCTCCATAGGTCTGTGTGGGTGCTCAGTAGAACTGGAAAACAATCTATAGCATTACATTTGTTGGATGACTGAATAAATGGAACCTTCAGAAACGTTTGGTAACAGAATGGAAGAATGAATAGATGCTCTGTCCCAGAGTCAAATTCACTTCCTGGACCCTCTCTCCCTTCTCCCCCCGAAACTACCTTGATCTGACCCCTTCCTTTGCTCTCCATCCAGGATCACCGGCAAGAGTCCAAGTTAGAGGATCCTCCTGACCCCACAAGCTCGGCAGGGGCCACCCCCACCTTGGGGATGGAGGAAGAGCTGCATTACGCCTCCCTCAGCTTCCATGGGATGCACCATCCTGAGGAGAGCACCCACTCAGAATACACGGAGATCAGGACCAAGTGAGGAACCGAACACGGCCTCGGCCTCAGCCAGAACGTCCATTTCCTCCACAGGAAGGGGGACCCACAGGCTAATCCTTAGAGACTTAACATCCCCATAGGTGATGGGTTTATGAACTACTGTTAGTGACTTTCCTGCTATATTGGAACTATCTTAGGCTTTGCATTCAGAGAGACCTGGCATCAAATCCACGCTTTTTCATTCATTAAGAGTATGATAGCATGCGCGACACCGTTCCCCTCCATGTCTTGGTTTTCTGCTTTGGAGAAACGGATGTGAGAGGTCCAGCATCACAAGGTTGTTGTAAGGATTAAACGAAAGTACCAAATATGCAACAGAAGTCTTCATACATTGTGACCTTTGTCCACTGGAAAAAAAAGGACACCACCTAAAAGTTGCACGTTATGTTTTATTTGGGGACCTTACTGAGGACTATAGCCTGGGAGACAGCCTCTCCCATAGCTCTGAGGAGCTGCTCCAAAGAGGTCAGGGAGGAGCCAGGATATAAAGGTGTTTTTGCTGAAAACAAACAAACAAACATGTAGTCGAACATCAAAAGATGTCTAACCACAAAAATCAGACGTCTCAGAGTAATGACTTTGGAGCTTTTAGAGCTTTTCTATGTATGGGAAGACGCACGAGTCTGAGCTGATTGGAAATTATTCCTTAGCTATGCGCCTTAACTATCTAGGGCCAGGATCGTGTTTTTCTCCATCCTGAATTCCCCTCAGGGCACACCTCCGGGGGAGACTGCAGTGGTTGATTGTTTAATGGCGGACAACATCCTTTGTTTACTGAAACGGCAGGCAACATTTTTTTTGTTTGTTTGCACATTTCACCCAGAGGCTGGGTATGTCCTGTCCCCTGCACCACATCGGCTACATGTCAGTCTCACTGTCTACTCAAAACCCTCCCATGGATCCCTTCCTTCACTGGACCTCCAGCACCATCTCTTTCCATTCCTGAATCTTCCCTTTCCACCCTCCCTGTCTTCTACTAGTCCTGCTATAGCCAAAATCAAGTAATAACATTTAGAGAATTTCCTAAATCTTAGAGCTGACCATAGCCAAAATACTGCTCTCTCCTCAAGCCCAAAGAATAATTTACAAGCTTCTCAACCTGACGTTTTAGGTCAGGGGTCAGGAGACCTTTCTGCTAAAGGGCCAGATAGTAACTATTTGGGCTTTTCAAGCCATAGGGTCTCCGTTGCAACTATTCAACTGTAGTGCAAAAGCAACCATAGACAATTTGCAAACGAATTAATGTGGCTGGGTGCCAACAAAATTTTATTCACAAAAACAGGCAGCCCCAGTGTTGTAGTTTTCTGACCTCTGTTCTAGGTTATTCTTAGTCTCACCCAATCTGCTTCTCCATCACCATATCCCAAACCACCTATCCCTCAAGCCATTCTCTAAGAACCCATTCTGATGCATCCCTCACTGTCTTTGAGCACCTGCATCTCTCCTTCCAGGAAGACCCAGCCCCATGAAGTCATCTGGCTAACACCTTCTTATCCTTCAAAGTGAGTTCAAAATTATAGTCTGGGTTGAGAAGGTAGAGGGAAGCAAGAGCTTGTAAACGTCCTCCTACAAAGCCTAACACTCTAATTTTACTGCAAATCAGTTGAAACAAAATATACCAGCCCCAAATATACCAGCAGTACCAAAACCATGGCAGGGATAATGCATGACGCCCCAGTTTCTAAAGTGACACTTGAACAGATGAAAGATTCTGGTGTAGTGTAAGAAAAGGCCTGGTGCCCAAACCCGGCGCCTACACCCAGAAAGAACAGTTAAGTCAGACTTTCGTTTATGTTAATGTCAGCCTGCGTGATGTGACTCAACACATTAAAGGTTGATGGTTACCCTTCCAATCCAGGCAAGATGACATTGGCCCATTGTACCCTGCTTCTCCCTCTGTTCACAACTATAAACACTGCGAATGGTGCAAGACACAACCAAAGGAGAATTCTGCAAAGTGGTAAGAAGAAGGCAAGTTGGTTTAGGACCCCAGGACTGGAAAAACAATGCAGAGTCAGGGCATCCCAGTTCCTACAGCCAAACGAGGATGAACACTCACACCCACCGTTTCCCAAACCCTGACTGAGAAACAGTCAAGGGTTATCATCATAGTGTCAGGAATGAGCTCACCTGTCCCATCAACCGGGTTATGTCCTCTCTCCCTCCTTGGGGCTCCCACAGCCCCGTCCTCCCCGCTGCATCAGCCCAGGCCACGCCCGACTGTGATTGTGTCTCCATCCCCCTTCCTGACCCTGGCTGGTTCTCCTCCAGTGGTGGCCTCGTCTTAGCCCAACCCCACAGGACACTCTGCTCAACAGATGGGAGACAGGCACCCAGGGTGCAGGAGCGGCCACCAACTCAGCCAGTGGAGGGACCTGCCCGAACAGCGGCCTGTTCAGCACGTCCTGGCCTGGGGAGGGGAGCGGAAGTGTGGCCAGAGTGAAGTAAGAGGGAGTAGAGATCAGAGCCGGTGCACGGAGTGAGGCAGGAGACAGATGGGCTCCAGGCAGGACCTTTACAACTGGCCTCTTGTTAACACTTCCTGGGGTGAGAAGAAGATGGGCTCCAGGCCGTACATTCACTCCCAGCCCCCTGTTTACATGTCCTGAAGCAAGAGACAAACAGGCTCCAGGACTCCATATTGATGACCGGACTCCTGTCTATCTTTCAAGATCTGCACCTCAATATAAAAACCAGCGACAGAAATAGGGTAAATAACCAGACATTGGACATTTTTATGGCAGGAACAGAGTGGGACAAACCCTGTTAAAAGATCAAGAGGCCATGCATTTCCCATCCTTGGGGCAAGGGAAACGTTGCACATGCGCAGAAAGGCTCCTTGGGGTCAAAAAGGAGGGGGCACCACCCCATAACATGTGAGGCTAAGTCCGTCCCATAGGCCTCTAAGCTGGAATCCATCTTGGAAAAAAGCTGCGCACGCATGCTGTTGAGGGTCCTAGGGCAGGTCAGGTGTGGAAAAAGAAACCAGATAATTGACCAAAGGTAAACAAAGACCCGGAAGAACGGCCCTATATGAATGACGTAACCGCCTTTTTATGGGGCTCTTCCTCATTGGGGGGGACGCCCACACCCTTTCCCTCCGGGTGTGCGTCTCTGCCTTGCTTCTATCTTAACTAAACAAACTGTTTCTCTGTGTGCTCTCCCACTTGTTGTGCTGTGTCTCTAATAATAAGCTTTGTACCTGTTTTTACAGTTTTGCCTCCGTGAGAGATGCATTTTTCACTGGGGGCAAGGGCCAGGGGGTGTGGTGGCCGGGATTCCTGGTTTTCATCCAGGCTCCCCAGGTTCAATTCCTGGGCCGGGAATTAAGATCTCGCTTCACGCCACCACTCGCTGCCGCCACTCTGAGACCAGGAGGAGAAGCCGAGGTGTCCCCGGGTTACCACCTCTTTCATTCCCTTTTCTCCTCCTGTCCTTGGAGTGGCCCCATCCTGCAGGCTGACCACTGGCCACTGTGTGGGCTGCGTCAATTTGGGCTGCTCTAGGCTGCTCTGAGCCCTCCACTTGTACGAACACGTCGAATCTTCGGGGTGACCCCGTGGGTTCACTTGCTAGGGCTGCCGTAAGGAAGTACGGCCGACTGGGCGGCTTGAGCAACAGAAATTCATTTCCTCACAGATCAGGAGGCTGGAAGTCTGAGATCAAAGTGTCAGCAGGGCTGGCTTCTTATTATTATTATTTTAAATTTTTTAAATTTTTAATTGAAGTATAGTTGCTTTACAATGTTGTGCTAATTAGTGCTGTACAGCAAAGTGATTCAGTTACACGTATATAGACATCCTTCTGAGGCCTCTCTCCTTGGCTTGTAGATGGCCATCTTCTCCTTGTATCTTCACGTGGTCTTCCCTCAGTATGTGTCTGTGTCCTAATCTCTCTTTCTTACAAGGACACCAGTCCTATTAGGTTAAGGCCCACCCCAATGACCTGATTTTATATTAATTACCTCTTTAAAGGCCTTGTCTCCAAATGCAATCACATTTATAGGTACTGGGGGTTAGGACGTGCACATATGAATTTGGGGCGTGACACAACTCAGCTTCCAACGCCGTGTGAGCATAGGCACACCTCCGTACAGAGTGGTTGAGCCCCTCCCCAAGGTGGCACAGCAAGGATTAGGGAAGCCAGCTCAAGCCTAGAGCCATCTGCTGCAGAGCCTGTGCCCCTGAGCCCCGCATTAAAGCCCTCAGGGGAGGAAGCCCCAGGGGAGCGCTGACCACACGAGCTTCTCGCTGAGGGTGGGACTCAGAATGACCCCTGAGGAATGGGCAGGGTCAGACACCTGACCTGCAAGACAGCCACAGAAGAGTCTGTAGAAAACGCCCACCTCTGTCCTTGTATCAGATTCTCCCACAGACGAGGGTTGAACATTGTGATCCTTCCATGTGACAGATGAGAAAGCTGAGGCTTGGAAGGGAGAAGGGCAGGGCCCGCCTACCTCCAAAAACTGGCATCCCCCCAGTGTCACACTGGCTGTCACACTGGCTCCCAAGCCTGGCATGTGCAGGGAGGCCTGCGGCAGGGGGCTGTGAGCAGGTCAGGAAGCTTCAGGACCACCTGTGGGATCATGTCCTTGTGACCACCCTCCTGGATCCTGGTCTCATCCTCTCTATCCATTTACACCTGGGAACTCGCCTTCTAGCTGCATGGAGCGATGGGGTTTCCTCCAAGCCTCTATCTGGGCTGCCCCTATCTCACACTGTATCAGCAGGAGCTGGGGCGTCGGAGAAGTTCTCAAGGGTGGAGACAAAGTCTGTCGCATTCTTGCCTTGTGCTCCACTCCCCTGAAAGGAGAGGTGCCCCTGTGCCGTCGTCGTGTTCATTTTGTTCCCAGGTCCAAGCTTGCTCTGCTCGCCTCACAACGGGCGCATGAATCGGAGATGAGGTGTTGAGGGAAGGAATGACAACTTTATTCGGAAATCTGGCAGACCTAGAAGACAGCAGACTGGTGTCTCTGAAAAACCATTTTACTGGGGTTTGGATGCCAATTTCTTTTATAGCACAGAGAGGGAGAGGAGATGAGGAAGTAAAGTAAAAAGGCCACAAGCTTTGCAAACATCTCCTGGAATGGCCAGCCTCGGGGAGGGAATGTGTTCATTTCTTCTTCCTTGCAGCCATCCACGGGTGGAACAGCGTCCAGCTGTTTCCCTGAACGAAGGCACTTTGGTTTAACCTTCAGGCAGAGGGGCAGGGCTCCCCGAGGCAGGCCATTATGTAGAGACAGTATCCTTTTAATGAACAAAAGCAGTGGAAAGCAAAGGTTAAAGTAGAAGAAACAGATCCAACATGGAGTCAGGATTGACTCTTCCCTGTTACAATTTCAGTAACTAATCACCACCTCTTTCACCCTGGCGGGACCCATCCCCGTCTTTCATGCATGGAGCTTTCCCGGCTGCCCCTCCTGCATCTCACACCTGACGGGGACTGACCGGCCTGATTTCCTGCGGACAGAGGTGTGGGAGGGACAGGCTGTGGACAGGGATCCGGGAGACGCCTTTGGGCTGTATTCGCTGCTCGTGACCCTCACCAGGGCCTCACACGGAAAGTAGAAGTGGTGACTCTCCAAGGTCCACGCAGCTCCGGCAGCATGTGGGTGCGGAGTTCCTCTTTTGTGTTCGGCTACCTTCTGACCTCAGCTCTGGGCTTCCTGTGAGAGCTTCCTCTCAATCCTGTGACACAAAGGCCCCATCAGTCTTACCCCAAAGATGCTGCTATTGCCACCGCCGCTGCTGCTGCTGTCCCTGCTGTGGGCAGGTGGGTGGGCTGCGGGGAGAGGGGTGGGCGGGGCAGGGGCTGCAGCTGACCCTTGTTCCTCCGCAGGGTCCCTGGCTCAGTACATGAGCTACTGGCTGCAGGTGCGGGGGTCTGTGACGGTGCAGGAGGGCCTGTGTGTCCGCGTGCCCTGCTTCTTCCACTATCCCTGGGACTACTGGGACGACTCTGTCCCAGCTTTCGGCTACTGGTTCCAGAGCGGGGCCAGACCCGACCAGGATCGTCCAGTGGCTACAAACAACCCAGGTCGTGAGGTGCTGAAGGACACCCAGGGCCGATTCCACCTCCTTGGAGACCCCCGGACCTACAACTGCTCCCTGGACATCAGAGATGCACGGCAGGGAGACACGGGGACATACGTCTTTAGGGTGGAGAGAGGGCTTTCTGTGAAATATAGTTATTTAAGGAACAAGCTCCACCTGCATGTAACAGGTAAGGATGGTGTCAAGGAGAGGACACAGACACAGGGGCCCTGAGGGCCCCCAGGGCAGGGCTGGGAGGGGACCCCCTGTCTTCTCATCCTGGGAGGGGCCCTAGGGGACCTAGGAGGACAGGCCGCTGCGGCTGGCCTGGGGCAGAAACAGCTCTGAGGGGCACACTCGGGGCCCCCCATCCAGGGCCTGGTTCTGTTTCTCTTTCCTCTTCAGCTCTGACACAGACACCCGACATCCACGTCCAGGGGACCCTAGAATCTGGCCTCCCCAGGAATATCACCTGTGCAGTGCCATGGGCCTGTGAGAGGGGGCCACCCCACACCTTCTCCTGGATCGGGGTTGCCCTCACTTCCCTGCACCCCAAGAGCCCCCATTCCTCGGTGCTCACCCTCACCCTGGGGCCCCAGGACCATGGCACCAACCTCACCTGTCGAGTGACCTTCCCCGGAGCTGGCGTGAGCACAGACAGAACCATCAGACTCAACGTGTCCTGTGAGCCGGGGCCAGGGCGCCGGGTCCCTGAGGGCAGAGGGCGTTGGGGACGGGAGGGAGGGCCTGGGCTACTGCGTGCTGAGCCCTGCGAGCTGGAACTGGGGAGGAAGGAAAGAGGACACTACTCCACCCTCTTCCTATTTCTAATGTTTCTGGGGGAAAAGGGCCGATGCCTACCTTCCTGCCACTGAAAAGCGGACAGTTATGTCTGTCTGTCCAGATGCACCCCAGAAGCCGACCATCAGAGTGTTCCGGAAAGAAGACACAGGTAGGTCTAAACCTCTCTTCTCCAGGGGTGTGGTGGAAGTGGAAGTGTCTCTGCCCTTCGGAGCAGAGCTGGGGATCAGAACTCAGATGGCAGAGAGGCTCAGGCCTGGGGTGGGGACAGCAGAGGTGGGAAAACCCCCACTGGCTCATCAGCTTACACACTGTCCTCCCCCTTTCGCTGACCCTGCTCTCATGGGGTATCGCGTGGCCTCTTCCTTGTCTGTTGGACGTGGCTGTCCGCACTGCCAGGGCTCCATCCTTGTCCCACATCCTGCCCTCATTCTCCTTAGGATCTAGACCCCACCTACTCCTTCAGTTTCCTTCCCTCATTTTAATGTTATTGTTTACAGTAGTAAGCATACGGGGCTTCCCTGGCGGTCCAGTGGTTAAGCCTCCACGCTCCCAATGCAGGGGGCGCAGGTTCAGTCCCTGTTCAGGGAACTAAGATCCTGCATGCCGCACGGCACAGCCAAAATAAATAAATAAATAAAACAAAATATAGAACATAGTTTAAAAAAGAAAGAAAAGAAAAGAAAAGAATAAGCATACAATGTGTGTTAGTTAGCTCAGGCTGCCACAATAAAATACCAGAGACTAGGTGGCTTAAAAACTAGGAATTTATTTCTCACAACTCTGGAGGCTGGGAAGTCTAAGATCAAAGGGCCGGCTGATCGGGTTCCTGGTGAAGGCTCGCTTCCTGGCTTGTGCACGGCTGCTTTTTGTCTACGTTCTCTGGTATCTCTTATAAGAACACTAACGTCATCGTGAGAATCTCAATCTCATGACCTCATCTAACCCTAATGACTTCTCAAAGACCCATCCAAATACCTCCAAATACCATCATATTGGAGGTGAGGGCTTTGACATATGAATTTGAGGGGAACATAGTTCAGTCCCTAGCAAAATTTAATAAGAATAAAATAGTATTCAGCACTTGTGTATCTCCCCTCTTGGTTATCTTTTAGAGTAGAACCTACACATATACATTTTAAAACACACACATATATGCAGCTCATGCTACCCACATGCTTTGCATCTCTATTAGTATTTTTTACTAAACTTTTCATGTGGAGTAATTTTAGACTCACATGGTACAGAGACTTTCCACAAATCTCTCACCTCATCATTAAAATCCTCCATCAACATGGCATATTTGTCACAACTAAGGAAGTGACTAAGGAAGGTACATTTCTACAAACTAAACTCGCCTTTTTCTCAAACTTGGTATATCTTGGAGATTTTCCTGTATCTGTACATAGGAAACCTTCTTCATTCTTAATAATGACCCCGTGGTTTTCCAATTAGAAGTATATTATATGATAAAGTACTTAATAGGTCTCCTGTTAGTGGAAAACTATGGTGTTTCCAATCCTTTGCAAAGACAAGGCAAATGTGTGGGTCTGGAAGATTACTCTTGAGAGAGAAGGAAGTCCTAGATCAAAGGGTATGTTTGTAATTTCTACAGATATTGCCAAATCGAGCTACATGGAAGTTGTTCTGCTTATACTACCCCCTGCCATGTGTCTATTTCCCTGCTAAACATTTTCATCCTTGCTGATACCATAAGTAAATGCACTATCATGTTACTTGCATTATCATTTTGTGAATAGGTTGCGTATCTTTCATTGTGTTTAAAAACCATGCGTATTTCTTTTTTTTTTTTTTATTGCGGTACGCAGGCCTCCCACTGTTGTGGCCTCTCCCGTTGCGGAGCACAGGCTCCGGACGCGCAGGCTCAGCGGCCATGGCTCACGGGCCCAGCCGCTCCACGGCGTGTGGGATCCTCCCGGACCGGGGCACGAACCCATGTCCCCTGCATCGGCGGGCGGACTCCCAACCACTGCGCCACCAGGGAAGCCCCATGCGTATTTCTTTGTGGTCTTTTTCTTGATGATTTGAAGAAACTCTTTTCATATTAACGCAATCATCTGTGTATAAGTTGGAAGGATTTATTTCCAGCCTAATCATGGGGTTTTGACTTAGTGTGTGGTGATTTTGCTAGGCAAAAACATGCCATTTTTCTTGGCCACAGCGCGTGGCTTGTGGGATCTTAGTTCCCCAACCGGGGCAGTAGACTGTGCCCCCTGCAGTGGAAGCACAGAATCCTAACCACTGGACCGCCAGGGAACCCCCGCCATTTTTTTTTTTTTTTAAGTTGCATTCAGTGATGTACTGGGACTAGCTCTTACTGGTTGGCGAGAGCCCGTTGTGCAATTGCGTCCATCTTTTCCCACTTCTGGGTTCAGAGGCTTCAAATTACGTGCTTGAAATTGGCCAAGATGGGAGTTTTTACACAGAGGAAATTGACAAGCGCTACAAAACAGGAAGATATGAGCCCTTAGGCGATGGAAGAGACCGACAGGTAGACTGAAGCTAGCTTTCTCTCTGTCTTGCCAGGACCTGAAATTCTGGGCCAAAGCCTATCTCTCCCAGTCCAGGAGGGCCAGTTCCTACGCCTGGACTGTGTTGCCGACAGCAACCCTCCTGCCAGGATGAGCTGGATCCGGGGGAGCCTGACCCTGAGCCCCTCCAATTCCTCGAACCCTGGGGTCCTGGAGCTGCCCCGGGTGGAACTGGAGGACCACGGGAAATATGTCTGCCGAGCTCAGCATCCGTTAGGCTCCAAGGAAGCATCTCTGTGCCTCGTTGTGAAAAGTGAGTTGGAACACACCAGAGGGAAGGACGCCTGGGTTTTAGGGAGGGGAGAGTCTCCTCTGATCCCTCCCATCTCTCCCCACAGACCCCCCGCAGCTGCTGGGACCCTCCTGCTCCCAGGAGGAGGAGGGTCTGCACTGCGACTGTTCCTCCCGAGCCCAGCCGGCCCCCTCCCTGCGCTGGCGGCTGGGGGAGGAGTTGCTGGAGGGGAATTTTAGCAACGCCTCCTTCAAGGTCACCTCCAGCTCGGCTGGGCCCTGGGCCAACAGCTCCCTGAGCCTCCGCGAGGGGCTCAGCTTTGGCCTCCGACTCAGCTGCGAGGCCCAGAACGGCCACGGGAAACAGAGCGCCACTGTCCTGCTGCTGCCAGGTCTGGGAGCTATGAAGGGCCGTGTCCGGGGAAAGGGGACACACGAGCCTGCGTCCTAGAAGATACTGAGAGGGAGAGAAATGGGCCTGATTCAGGGCAAAAGGGGAACTAGAGTTCAGGGTCCTCTGTCGGTTGGCTGGGGTGGGGGCTGGGGACACAGGAACCTGCAATTATATAGAAGGATGGGGGACAAAGGACAGAGTCCTGGATAGAAGTGGGCACACTCGTGGGTCGTGGATTTGAGAAGGCTGGTCACTTAGGTGCCTGCTTAGGGAGACTGCAGGTCAGCCCAAGCCTCTTACTTGCAGGGAGGCCAGCACCCAGGACCTGTGTGGTTTGGGGGGCCGTCGGGGGATCTGGCGCCACAGCCCTGCTAGCTCTCTGCCTCATCTTTGTGTGAGTGGTGGCCCCAGTTTGGGACAAGACTTCCCAAGGTGGTGGTATGGGGGGCAAGGGGCGAAGGAGGGGGAGACTCGAAGAAATTTTCAAAGCTCAAAGCTCAGAGCTGAGGGCCCTGGTAGAGTGATGAAGCCAGGAAGGAGGGCCGTTAGTTGAAGCGGCATCAGGAATGTAGCCTCCTGACATCTTGGCCAAGTGTGGACTCTGGTGCCAGCCATCCTGGAGGAGGGAGCAGGTGTTCTGGTCATGGTCTCTGCAGCTGGACGCTGGCCTGCATTCAGTCAGCCCTTCTCAGCTCCGTGCAGTGAACCCACCAAGCCAAGAAAGGCCCTGGTCTCTCTTTTCAGAGTGAAGATCTACAGGAAGAAATCAGCAGAGAAGGCATCAAGCAGAGATGGCGTCCGTCCCGCGTTGACTTCCATCTCTCTGGTGAGTGATGTGGGCAACTTTCCATCCAGTGTCTCCACTGGACACCTCTCCCCTAACAGGGGCCATAGCAGCTTACTCAGCACCTCAAAAACTGAGTTCGTCCTCCCCACCTCCAAATTTGTTCTTCCTCCTGAATTTCCTGTTGCACTCAAATCACCCTCTCCTCTTTCCCCTCCATCACTTCCCAGAGCCAAGAATTGCCCAAGTCCTGTCCATCTTCCTTTTAGCAAAGCTCATCTCCATTTGGCCCCTTCCCTGCTGAGCCCTCACATTCTCTCTGCTGGGTCACTGGCTTCATCTCTCCTCCCGGAACAAGCTCTCGGCAAGAAATTCCCCTAACAGCTGTCCTTCAGTCAGCCTGTACTTGCTCCCCACTGTCTAGATCCAACAGAAATATGATGCGAGCCATGTATATAACTTAAAACTTAGCCAAGTTAAAAAAGTAGAAAGGAACATGAGATCAATTTTAATATAATATTTTATTTAACCCAACGTAGCCAAAGTGTTATTTCAAACATCATGTCATCAACAGTCAACATAAACATACAAATTATTGAGATTTCTCTTTTTTCTTTCTTTTTCTTTCTTTCTTTCTTTCTTTCTTTCTTTTTTTCTTTCTCTCCTTCTCCCTTCTTTCCTTCCTCTGTTTTCTTTCCTTCTTTCTTTTTCTTTCTTCCTTCCTTCTTCCCTCCCTCCCTCCCCCTCCCCCTTTCTTTCTTTTTTTTTTTTAATTTATTTATTTTTAGCTGCATGGGTCTTTGTTGCTGCACACGGGCTTTCTCTAGTTGCAGCGTGTGGGGGCTACTCTTCGTTGTGGTGCGTGGGCTTCTCATTGTGGTGACTTCTCTTGTTGTGGAGCACGGGCTCTAGGTGCAAGAGCTTCAGTAGTTGTGGCTCACAGGCTCAGTAGTTGTGGCTCTTGGGCTCTAGAGTGCAGGCTCAGTAGTTGTGGCTCACGGGTTTAGTTGCTCCATGACATGTGGGATCCTCCAGGGACCAGAACTCAAACCCATGTCCCCTACATTGGCAGGTAGACTCTTAACCACTCTGCCACAAGGGAAGCCCCTCTTTCTTTCTTTCTTTCTTTCCTTCCTTCCTTCTTTCTTCCTTCCTTCCTTCCTTTGTTCCTTCATTCCTTCCTTCATTTCTTTCTTTCTTTCCTTCTTTCTTCTTTCTTTCTTTCTTTTTTCTTTCTTTCCTTCCTTCTTTCTTTCTTTCTTTCTTTCTTTCTTTCTTTCTCTTTCTTTCTTTCTTTCTCTTTCTTTCTTTCTTTCTTTCTCGACTTTGAACTCCAGTATGCATTTTGTACTCACAGCACATCTTTGTTCTGACTCACCACGTTTCATGGGCTCAAGAGCCACGTGTGGCTGGGGGCTCCTGCGCTGGACAGCGCAGGCCTAGGAAATCAAGACCAAATTCTTCAGTCTGGTGCTCTGTGATCTGTCCCCTGCCAAGTTCTCCAGCCGGCAACCTGTCCCTCCCCACAAAATGAGCTTATTATATTCTATGATATTATGATTTATAATAAGAAATATATATTTGGTCTTTATCCCCTATTCCTGGCACAGAGCTCCTAGAACTCTTGAACTTTCCTGTGATGGGAGTGATAAAAGTATTTCTTGTTATATTCATGGGGTGACTTTTGGGAAGCACCTAAGGATGGGGGCTGGTTACTGGGAGAACCAACCATGCAATTGGGGGATTGGAACTTTCAGTCCCACGCCCTGACCTCCAGGGATGGGAAAGGGGCTGGAGGATGAGTTCAATCCCCAAGGGCCAATGATTCAGTCGATCATGACTATGGAATGAAGCCTCCATAAAACCCCTCAAAGTATGGGGCTCAGAGAGCTTCCAGGTTGGTGAACAAGTGGAGATTTGAAGAGATTGAAGCAATCGGAGAGGGCATGGAAACTCTGCACCCTTTCCCTATACCTTGCCCTACACATCTCTTCCATCTGGCTGTTCCTGAGTTATATACTTTAATTTAAAAAAACAGCTAATTTAATAAGTGAAATATTTCTCTGAGTTCTGTGAGCTGCTCTAGCAAATTAATGGGATCTGAGGAGAGGGGTTGTGGGAATCTCTGATCGACAGCTATCTGGTCAGAAGCACAGGTGAGAATCTGGGACTTGTGATTGGCATGTGAGGTGGAGGGTGGGACAGTGTTGTGGGACTGAGCCCTTAACAGTGTCAGAATTGAGCTGAATTGCAGGACACCCAGCTGGTGCCGCAGACATGCTTGTTGGTGTGCAAATCCCCCCACCCCTGCCCCATATTGTAAGTGGTTCCAGGATCCTTATATCTCCAGGCAGGGCTCACTCTTTGTGACTTTGTGCATTTGCATTTGAGATTTCCTCTGTCCTGATCCCATTTGCACTGGTCAAGCCCTCAGTCATCTTTCTTGCCCCAATTAATTTTTTTATTTATTTTTTATTGAACTATAGCTGATTTACAATATTGTGTTAGTTTCGGGTATACAGCAAAGTGATTCCTATATATATATTCTTTTTCAGATTATTTTCCATTATAGTTTATTAAAAGATATTATACGTAGTTCCCAGTGCTATACAGTAGGACCCTGTTGATTATCTGTTTTATATGTAATAGTGTGTATCTGCTAATCCCAAACTCCTGATTTATCCCTCCCTGCCTCCCCTGTAACCATAAGTTTGCTTTCTGTCTGTGAGTCTGTTTCTGTTTTGTAAATAAGTTCTTTTGTATCATTCTTTTAGATTCCACATATAAGTGAAATTATATGGTATTTGTCTTTCTCTGTCTGACTTACTTCACTTAGTATGATAATCTCTAGGTCCACCCATGTTGCTGAAAACGGCATTATTTCCTTCTTTTTTTAAAAAATGTATTTTATTGAAGTATAGCTGATTTACAATGTTGTGTTAATTTCTGTTGTACAGCAAAGTGATTCAGTTATATATATATATATATATATATATATACACACACACATTCTTTTTCATATTCCTTTCCATTATGGTTTATCACTGGATATTGCTTTTTTTTAATTAATGAACTTATTTATTTATTTTTGGCTGCATTGGGTCTTCATTGCTGCATGTGGGCTTTCTCTAGTTGCGGCAAGTGGGGGCTACTCTTCGTTGCAGTGCCCGGGCTTTTTGTTGCAGTAGCTTCTCTTGTTGCAAATCATAGGCTCTAGGCGCATAGACTTCAGTAGTTGTGGCACGTGGGCTCAGTAGTTGTGGTGCACAGGCTTAGTTGCTCCGCGGCATGTGGGATCTTCCCGGACCAGGGCTCAAACCCATGTCCCCTGCGTTGGCAGGCAGCTTCTTTTTTTTTTTGGCAGGTGGATTCTTAAGCACTGTGCCACCAGGGAAGCCCTATCACTGGATACTTAGTTCCCTGTGCTATACAGTAGGGCCTTGTTGTTTATCCAGTCTATATATAATAGTTTGCATCTGCTAATGCCAAACTCCCAATCCATCCCTCCCCCACCCCACCCTCCTTGGCAACCACAAGTCTGTTCTCTATGTCTGTGAGTCTGTTTCTGTTTTATTTCATTCTTTTTTAATGTCATGCCAATTTATGTCATTTAAATATTCCCCTGCCCTATACCAGACCGACTGTCATCATGCATCCCTGTAATAATCACAGGCCTGTCCCCACCACACTGTGAGCCCCTGGAGGGTAGTTCAGGTCTCCTGCAGACCTCTGTGACTCTCACCCACAGCACCCTGCTTCTGTCCATCAAATCACAATTTGCAATTCGATAAGTTTTGAGTGTGCAACAATTTCATACAGTCCCCTTGTCCTCATAGACTGTGCAAGGTCAGGGATCTTGTCTGTGGAAGAATCACTTCACCTTGCTCACTCAGTCTGTTTTCCTAACTGTAAAATGAGGATAACATTTATATCATCCATGAAGGGAAGTTGTAAGCATTCAGTAGGGTGAGAAAAAAGAACAGACCACTATGATTAAAGGAATGAATGAATGAGTGAGTGAGTGAATGAGTGAATCCTCAGGAAATGGGTGTGAAATGGATAAGGGAATAATTGCCCCCGTCAAGCCCCAGGTTCCCTTCTCCAGACCTCAACAGCCAGCTCTGAAGCTCTTCTCTCGTTCCACTCAGGGTCACCTCAATGAATCCTGTTCAGACAGCCCCTCAGACTACCAGACCCCAGCTCCGGCCACCTCCACCTCAGGGAAGGAGCAGGAGCTCCATTACGCCACCCTCAACTTGCACAGGCTGAGGACCCACAACTTTCAGGACCAGGACACGACTGAGTACTCAGAGATCAAGATCCAGAAATGACGCCCCCGCCCCCAACCCCAGAACCAGGCTGGAACCCAGAAAATGCATCTCTGAAGAAAATGTGTGCGAGGCACCGATTCTTGAAGACTTGGCTGCCCTCTGAGCCAGAGCTTATAAATGAGAAGGTGAAGCTCCTTGGAGCGGCTAAAGGGCACAGAGAGTCCTAGGTTCAAATCCAGGCCCTGGTAACCCTAAGGGTGTTATATCAGGCAAGTCACTTTACCTCTCTGTGCTTCAGTTTCCTGCTCTGTAAAATGGGGATAATATCCATTAGGTACATTGTTAAGTGGGGAAAATGCACTTTGGGAGTTGTTAACTACATTGTTATGTGTTAAGTTAACCTCAGGATGGAGGGAGATGTCAGCTTTTGGCTCTACCACATATTTCTGTTTTGCCTGACTGTTTTTAAGAACATGAATTATTTTTTGTTTGTTTGTTTTTCTGGGAGGGAGGAGATAAAACATGTATTATTTTTTTAAGTAAATCTAAATTTACCTCTCTGGATGGAGACGATATTTCCCAATACATGTATCTAACAAAGGACACCCAGGATATATAATGAATATATTTTTTTAATAATAAATAACTTAAAAATAAATTTGAAGGCTTCCCTGGTGGCATAGTGGTTAAGAATTCACCTGCCAATGCAGGGGACACGGGCTCAAGCCCTGGTCTGGGAAGATCCCACATGCCGCGGAGCAGCTAAGCCCATGCACCACAACTACTGAGTCTGTGCTCTAGAGCCCTCGAGCCACAACTACTGAACCCGCGTGCCACAACTACTGAAGCCCGCATGCCTAGAGCCCGTGCTCCGCAACAAGGGAAGCCACCACAATGAGAAGCCCGCGCACCGCAACAAAGAGTAGCCCCTGCTCACCCTGACTAGAGAAAACCCGCATGCAGCAACAAAGACACAACGCAGCCAAAAATAAATAAAATAATAATAATAATAAATATATATATTTTAAAATAAATAAATTTGAAAAAAATTTAAAGGGCTATGTAAAGAGCTTCCACAAATCCATTAGAAAAAGGCAGACAACCGAATAGGAAGACAAATAGTCAAATGGCCAATAAGCATAGAGAAAAGTATTCAACTTCTGTAGCTGTCAAGGAAATAAAAATTAAAATCACAGTGGTGCCAACTGCATAGTTACACTGGCTAAGATAATAAAAATAATGTCAAGGAAATCAAGTGTTGAGGATATTACGCTAAGTGAAATAAACCAGTTACAGAATGCCAAATGCTGCATGATTCCAGCTATAGGAAGTATTTAAGGAAATCAGACTCTGAAACAGAAGGTAGAGGGGCCCTGGGGGAGACTCAGAGAAGGGGAGTTAGGAAATTGCTCTTCAATAGGTGTAGAGTTTCATTTTTGCAAGAGGAAAACATTCTAGAGATTTGATGGCCAACAATGTGCATATCATTAACATTACTGTACCGTGCACTTAAAAATGGTTAAGATGGTAAATTTTATGTTATTTTTTTTTTATCACAGTGTTTTTAAAAGTACTGTATGGTGGTTACCAGGGTCTGGGGACTGGGGTGTCGGTGGACAGTTAATGTTTAGTGGGTACAGAATTTCAGTTTCGGGTGATGAAAAAGTTCTAGAGACAGACGGTGGTGATGTGAATATGCTTAATGCCATTGAATTGTACACTTGAAACATGGTTAAACCAGTATGTCATGGGTACTTCATCACAATAAAAAATGTTTCCTTAAAGAACATCAAGGGGCTTCCCTGGTGGCGCAGTGATTGAGAGTCCACCTGTCGATACAGGGGACACGGGTTCGTGCCCCGGTCCGGGAAGATCCCACATGTCGCGGAGCGGCTGGACCCGTGAGCCATGGCCGCTGAGCCTGCGCGTCCGGAGCCTGTGCTCCGCAACGGGAGAGGCCACAGCAGTGAGAGGCCCGCGTACCTCAAAAAAAAAAAAAAAACATCAAGTGTTGGTGAAGACGTGGAGCAACTGGAACTCTCCTACACTGAGCACCTGAGACAGCCGTTCAACTCCCAGGTGTGCACCCAACAGAAGCGCGTACACGTGTTCACCAAATGTATACAAGAGTGTTCATAGCAGTGCTTGTTGTAATGGCTGAAAACAGGAACCTGCCCAAATTCCCATCAACAGTAAGACAGGTGACAACAAGGTTCTACTGTATAGCACAGGAAACTATATTCAGTATCTTGTAATAAGCCATAGTGGAAAAGAATATGAAAAAGTACATATATATATATACATATATATAATATGGCTGAATCACTGTGCCGTACACCAGAAACTAACGCAACATTGTAAATCGACTATACTTCAGTCTAAAAAACAAAAAACAGTAAGACAGGTAAATAGAGAGTAAATTATTTACGCAATGGAAAAAGCAACAACTGCACACAACATGTATGAATCTTCCAAACAATGTTGAGTGAAAGAACCCAGACACAAAGCATACATACTATGTGATATCATTGATATGAGGTTCAGACAAAACTAATCTTAAAAAAAAAGGAAAAAAGGGCTTCCCTGGTGGTGCAGTGGTTGAGAGTCTGCCTGCCGATGCAGGGGACACTGGTTCGTGCCTAGGTCCGGGAAGATCCCACATGCCACGGTGCGGATGGGCCCGTGAGCCATGGCCACTGAGCCTGCGCGTCTGGAGCCTGTGCTCCGCAACGGGAGAGGCTGCAACAGTGAGAGGCCCGCGTACCGCAAAAAAAAAAAAAGAAGGAAAAAAAAGTTAAAAAGCAGCTTTCACTGCTGAGGGCCCAGATTCCGTCCCTGGTTGGGGGACTAAGATCCCACAAGCCATGTGGCGCAGCTGAAAAAAAAATCAAAAACCCTAATCTTAGGTATTAGAAGTCCACATACTGGTTACCCTCAGTGGGTACTGGCTGTAGGAGGGCAGTAGGGGTATCCTGGGGTTTCCAGTAAGGATCTGTTTCTTGATCTGGGCATTCATTGCTCAGATATAGTCACTCTATGAAAGGTTGTTGTTGTTTTCTAAATACTGGATCCTACTCCTATCCTTTTTTTTTTTGAAATTTATTTTTATTTATTTTTGGCTGCATTGGGTCTTTGTTGCTGCGCACGGGCTTCCTCTAGTTGCGGCAAGCGGGGGCTATTCTTTGTTGCAGTGTGTGGGCTTCTCACTGCAGTGGTTTCTCTTGTTGCGGAGCGTGGGCTCTAGGGCACCAGGGTTTCAGTAGTTGCAGCACACAGGCTTAGTAGCTGTGGCTCCCGGGCTCTAGAGCACAGGCTCAGGAGTTGTGGCGCATGGGATTTGTTGCTCTGTGGCATGTGGGATCTTCCCGGACCAGGGATCAAACCCGTGTCCCCTGCACTGGCAGGCAGATTCTCAACCACTGCGCCATCAGGGAAGTCCCTATGAAACATTTTTGAGTCAAACAATTATGATGTGTGCTCTTTTCTATATGAATATTACTCTTGAATAAAATTTACATTAAGCTTTAAAAAGATGATCCTTGTAAGTTTCTAACTCTGATTTCCACCAAACGATAAGCTTCCCCAGGGCAGGGACAGTACTATGTCCAGCCTTGTGTTTTCAGAGCCTAGCCTTGGACACAACACATAAACTGGACTCAGTTAACCTTTGAAATGATTTGCACTCAAGTGCAAGGGGAAGACACAGCCGGGCTCTGCTGAGGCTTCCCATGTTGTTTCCAGCCCAAGCCTCTCTCCTAAGTTCTGAATCCCAGTGTCCTCCTCCACATCTCTCCCTGATTGACCGCAGGTGCTTTGCTTTCAGTGTATCCCAAGCTGGACTCTGTATCATCCCTCAAACCTGGTTCTCCCCTGGGTCCTCCGTCCAGGACTCGAGAATGTCCGTCCAGTAGCGTGGTGCCTGACTCCCAGTATCAGCCAAGGAGAGCATCGCACCCTCGTGCCTGGATTAGCTCCATCTCCCCACCGGGACACAACTTCTGGCCCAGCACTTCTTGGATCTTGTGAAACAGGCCTCCTCCCCTTCTCCAGTCTCTCTGGTTTCCATTTAGGTTCCTCTCTGTCTGTTCCTCCAAGAGGCCACTGTCCTAAACACTTCCTGAATTGGCGAGTCTGCATCTTCTTCTCTCCCCGGGGGTTGTAAGCTTCTCCTGGCCACTGTACAAAGTGCCTCAAGACCCAGCTACCAGGTCCAGTAGTATTCAAGGCCCAGCTTTCAGCATGACGCCTTCTTCAACCCTGTCCTATCATCTGGGGAAGAGTCTTTTAAAAAAATATTTATTTATGTATTTGCATTGGGTCTTAGTTGCAGCAGGCAGGCTCACCGGCTCCTTAGTTGCAGCTTTTCAGTTCCTTAGTTGTGGCATGAGAACTCTTACTTGTGGCATGCATGTGGGATTTAGTTCCCGGACCAGGGATCAAACCCGGGCCCTCTGCACTGGGACTGCAAAGTCTTAACCACTGTGCCGCCAGGAAAGTCCCCTGGGGAAGATTCTGGAACTCCCTCCTCTGGAACCCCACAGACCTCATTCATCTCTCCACTGTAGTTTTAATCACAGGGCCTAGAGGCTGTCTAACCTGTCTTAGTGAAGGCAGGGGAGGGCAGCTATTAAAACTGTAAGCCCCTAACCCTCCTACATTGTTGGTAGGGATGTAAGTTGGTGCAGCCATTATGGAGAGCAGTATGTAGGTTCCTTAAAAAACTAAAAATAGAGTTACCATATGATCCTGCAATCCCACTCCTGGACGTATTTCCAAAGAAAACTCTAAATCAAAAAGATACACGCGCCCCAATGTTCACAGCAGTACCAGTTACAGTAGCCAAGACGTGGAAACAACCGAAATGTCCATCGAGAGTTGAATGAATCAAGAAGATGTGATATTCATATACAATGGAATATTACTCAGCCATAATAAAGAATGAAATAATGCCATTTGTAACAGCATGGATGGACTGAGAGATTATCATACTAAGTGAAGAAAGTCAGACAGAGAAAGACAAATGCCATATGATATCACTTACATGCGGGATCTAAGATATGACACAAATGAACTTACCTACGAAACAGAAACAGACTCAGTCATAGAGAACAGACTTGTGGTTGCTGAGGAGGGGAGGGGTGGAAGAGGGGAGGGGAAGGATTGGGAGTTTGGGATCAGCAGATGCAAACTATTATATATAGAGTGGATAAACAACAAGGTCCTACTGTACAGCACAGGGAACTATATTAAATCTTGTAATAAACCATAATGGAAAAGAAAAAAATTGTAAGCCCTTTCCTAATAACCACAAAATGGAAAAAATCCAAATATCTATCAATGGATGAATGGATAAACAAAATGTGATCCATCCCTACAATGGCATATCATTCAGCCAGAAGAGCACGGATACACGCTACGACATGGATGAACTTCGGTAATATGCTAAATGAAAGATGCAGGACACAAATGGTCACATGTTGTAAAATTCCATTTATATGAAACCTCCAAAATAGGTAAATCCATAGAGACTGAAAGCAGATTAGGGGCTGCGGGGGGCTTTGGGGAGGAGGAACTGGAGAGTAACTGTTTCATGGGTATGAAGTTTCTTTTGGGGGTGATGGAAAATGTTTTGGAACTAGACAGAGGTGTTGGTTACAA